GATAAATAAAATAAACTGTAAAAAATAAATATAAATAAAAATTGATAACTCTCCTCAAAAATAGTAAAATTTTAGTACTTCTAAAAATATTTCTAAAAATTATATTAATAAAAATTATTTATTTCGATTTTTACTTTTTATAGATGAGCCAAAATATTTGCGCATATCCCTATAAAAATTATCAAAATGATACACAAGTTGATTTTGAAAGTAAAAAAGGAAGAAGGATAGAAAGATACGCTTCAAATTATGAAGATAGTAATGCATCATTCAAAATTTTGTCAAGAAATCAAGAAAAAGAAAGTATGAATTGTAAACAGTTATATATAAATAATGCTTTTGTAGTATCATTGAGAAATAACATGTTTAAATAAAATAATTTTTTAATAATTAATCATTAATAAATAAATTACATTTAATTTTTAATAATTTTAAATTGATTTTCAATATTTTACTAGGTTTATCATGGGAAAGTATGTTATCAGATGCTCAAATTGTTTTTCCTGACGATCAAAAAGAAGTACCTTCTTGTAGAGGATCTACTTTTTGCGAAAAAGTAGACTCTTATCCTGAAGATGTTGTAAATATTGCGATTCAAAGAAACGAAAGTATTAAATACTTGGCTACTGTAGATATAGTAAGTCTTTTTTTTTCTTATATTAAATCTTTTTTAATATTTGTTTAATATTTTATAATTTAATATTTAAAAATTTGTTTAAATATTAAATTTTTTAATCAGTTTTTTTCAATTTATTATACAAATTTTTTTACCCTTTTAGTTATCTGATATATCACAGAGGATCGATTTCATGGACGACAGCCCTCTTTGTCAGTCTAATGTAGGTATAAATAACATCATTTTCATTTTATAAAAATAAAATTAAAATTTAATACAAATATTTGTTTATTATTTAAGGAGCGAGTTGTATTTCCTAAATCAGCAAAAAATAAAGATAGGGAATGGAAATATGTTGCGAATCAAGAAAATTTTAAACAGGGTGTACGAGTTGAAGTGTGTCAGTAAGTATTGAAATTGAATTTTTTTTTATTAAATTTTTTTAAATTATATATTTCAGAATGATATAAATATTTTGTATCTTATTTGTAGAAAAGAAGACACATGTAACGTAATAGGAAATCTTCCTTTAGGTTACAAATCAATTTGTAAACAAAAATTCATTCAAAGAGAACTTTTATCTATATCGTCAAACGGTTCGATGTCTCCAGATACTTTCCTATTTCCATCAAGTTGTTGTTGCTATGTAACATTTACTACAAATACACGAATGGGTTTTAGGTAAAGTCAAGTTAGATCTGTTCGTGAATCGTCATGTCAAAGACGCAAACGCGATGAAATATTACCTTTTAATGAAGCAATTAATGTAAAGTAATTGTCACTTGACATTTCTGATATAATTGTTTCGGGAATAAAATCAAATTTTAAATTTTTTATGGATATCTAATACTTGATTAGTCTGCTAAATAATTAAAAAAAAAAAATTATTTATATTAATATTATAAAAATACAAACGAAAAATTAATTCTTAATCAATTTCATTTTAATATTGATAAAGATTTTTTAATAATTATAAAAATATGAAAATATATTTATTATTAAAATCATTATCATCAATATATATATCATTATTAAAAAAATAAATTAATAACAAATAAATAAAAAAACAAATTATAAATATAAAGCATTCCAAGTTAAAGTTTATACATAAACATTATAGCATATATAATTTTTATATATAGAGTGTTAATATCATATTTTCTTACAAATTTTCCTTTCCTATTTTTACTGTGTAAAAATTAAAACTTAAAAAAATATATAGGGCTTAAATCATCTTTTGATCTTTAAATTTTAAAATAATATTTTTAATATAATATACATGTATGTATGTATATGTTTTGTGTGTGTGAATGCACGCGCACGCATGTATCAATATATATAATTTAATTTAATATGATAAAAAAATATAAAACATTTCATAGAAATTTCATAGAAATATTGATTAACTAAAGCTAATAAATTTGAATTTAAAAAAAATGAAATTATTCATAAGTGCTTCTTTGATCATCAATATTTTATGAATATAAATTAAAGTTTAATTTGAATAAAATATCTATTTATATATGCATATGAATGATATGTCTTTGAAATAATTTATCTTTGTATTTTATGTATTTTATAAATGATTTTTGATTGCATAGAATTCTCTCATAGTATATTCTATTATTTCTATTATGCATTCAATAATATTCATTCAAATTATATACTTTCTTATACAATTACATATACAGTATATTTTTTATAAAATTGTAAAATATCTTATAAATAGAACTTTTATGTAATATATTAATTATTGATATCAATATATATATCAATATTGTGATTGTTAGTTTAAGAATATCATTTGTTATATGATTTTATAATATTTTACATAAAATAAAAATTATAATGTAATATAATGTAGTGTATATTATGTATATTTATTTATATCCTATATATCCTTATTTATATTCTATATATCCTTATTTTTTTAGAATAATATGATATAAAAAAGATTAAATAACATAATATATCATTCATAAATGTAAATTATTTACTATTTCAAAAATTTAGAATATATATATATTTATGCAAAGAAATTAAAGTACTTTTTACTTTGAAAATACACAGTTTATTCTTCTTATACACATTAAATATAATACTTACAATTATATTTATTATTTTATTGCAAGACTTTCTACAATTGTTTCAACATTATACAATATGAATTAAAATTTTCTTTCATTCAAATTTCAAAAGCATAAGTAAATATTTATAATATATAGGAAGTTTATGATATTTAAGTTATATATATATATATATATATA